GCTTCTTGTTCTTTCGGGTAACGTGTTCGCTGCTAGAGGGAAGCCGAGTGCATCGCGAGCAGAACCCAGTCGAGACTCATCAGTTGTGCTCGAGACTCATCAGTTGTACTCGAAAGATTAGCACCCTCCATCTGGAGTTTAAGTGTGTACACCCCATTCATGGGGAATCCTCGGGTGTACCCATTGTGTGACCCCGGGCCGGCTTTGTCGGAAAATTTGACCTCAACGTACTTATCTTAGAACAGCGGAATTTCACATTTAACCAGGAACGAGGTTTCACTAAAGGGAAGACAGCCGTCAGATCATGGAGACGTCTCACCATTGCTGCTGATGGCTGCTGACTTGAACTTGCATTGACTTGCATTTTGTCGGATTCGTTTCTCTCAAGATTGAGGTGTTGCGGTTGTGAGTTGGTTGCGCCACCATGTCTCGACGTGATGATCGTGACAGATCCAGGACTCGGCGCAGACGTGATCGGAGTCCTTCCCCTCAAGCTCGTAAAGCACGCCGACGTGAACACAATGACAACCAGGTCTCGGAGGGCATGGATTGGAACAACCTGGTATCCTGGCAACACAATTCCGGCTACAACTCCGGCAACAATTTCCCGGTGATGCCGAGCAATTATCAATCGATTCCAAACCCCACGCAGCAGTTCCATCATTCACCGGTCAACTACATGATGCCGGTTCCTCCAGAGCCCACGCCAGCGAAGTTCATGACGCCCGTGATGCCACCACCGGTCACTCCCTCGCAAGCTACACCATCACCTGGATACCCTGCAGCCCTGCCAGTTCGACCTCAGAAAGCCTGGCTTACACCATCGGTTGACTGGACACCTGGAGATGGCATGCTAGACATCAACCAGCTCTACAACTTCAGCCTGCCCATGACGGTCGCCAACACCCCGCACAACAACCTACGTGACATGTCCGACATGGACATTCGTGACGTTCGCCTGGTTCAGGTCATTCACGGGGGCGTCACCAACTGGCTACTCCGACCGTTCGCTCACGGCAGATTCGTGACGTGGGAAGGCTTTCGCACTCGCACCGAGGCCTTACTTTGGAGTACCTGTTCCAAACTACTACGACGATCACAGTCGATCAACCTGCTTACCTTGGAAAAGGACCTTGCCAGCTCACTGGGGCTCAACCTGGACGACTTCAATCAGCGGATCAAGGTTCACGACCATTTGGCCAACTTGGTACTTCAGTTTCTTCAGCAACACCACGCAACTCTCACGCCCTCTACCCAAACGGATGACATGGTCAAGAAGTTCAATGATCTAAATCGTGCTCATGAGTTGCTCCAGGCTCAGTATTCAGCATCGTTACGCGCTTCGACTTCCCCCACGGTGCCAAACCAGAAGGATGATGCAGAGTTGGTTACACCACCACCGGTCAACCACACACAATCTTCGTCACCTCCCAGCTCCCTCCCTACGGTCAGCGCAGCGGCCCTTGATGGCAAGTCGTATGATGGCGCGGTGCAACCCCGGATCATTCAGTCTCTTCACGGACTTTCTTCACCGCCTTCCAAGCCGGCGGCGTCACAATTGCTCACCATGCACAGCACGCCGGATGACGTCATCAAGTACTACACGTGGACTAGTGATCAGCCACGCTTGTATCTCAAGCAATCGCCCACAACCACCACTTTGGCGTCATTGATCAAATGGGCCAATCACCCGTCCCATCTCAACGGCAACAAGTCCTTGGATTCCACGGCGATGCAACTCCTTCAGGCGCGTCAACGCATGCCAAAAGGAGACGCGCCCACGTTTGCGGCGATGGTGGCTGTGGGGGCTGGAGCCTGGCTACCTTACCAAGCTCACTGACAAGGCGCTGTGTCACCTCATCGTGACCGCCCGCTTACTCAGTGGGTGAGCTGTTCCCTTCGTTCACTTATGAGCCCGGAGCGGCAGCTGTGTCACGATTGAGGAAAGGTGCAAACTCGTCCGTCCTCTTCTTGTTTTGCACTTGTTTGATGATGCGCTTGTCTGTGCTTGCGTTGTCATTTGCTTGGTATTAATTGCCGCTTGCATTCATGTCGCCGCCACACTGTAGATTTCATTGGTTGCATGTTCACCATGTTGGCTGAGCTTCGCCGCTGTGGAATCTATGATGATGTTGCACAATGGCATTCCTTAGACGCCTTTCTGCGCTCGTTGACAATGTTCTCTACGTGCTGGCAATACTGCTTTCCTAGACTTCCACCACCGTCGATATGAATGGATGAATATGAGTCAGTTGTACAACTACCTTGGTTGGGCCTTATTCTGGAAGTACTAGTTGTGGTCCGGATTGCACTTCAGATTCCGATTCATGCCATGTCACAGTCTTACCACACTGTGGCCAACAGGTATGAACTTCACAGGTGCCGGTGCACGGCCTATTTATTGATCAGTTTCTTGCAGCGTCTCATTTCTCAAGATTATGGAGATGTCCCGCCGTTCTTCGAGGTTCTTCACTTCTACAGGACGTCTCTGTTGTGTGAAATTATGCACAAGACATCTTCGCTCATTACGGACACGTTTCCCGGACCTCTATGACCTCATTCACGATCCAGGTCACCATCAACAACCATGCGTCTACATCCGACTTTCTCCATGGCACACTCCATACTACGTTGGTGCAACTGATCAGGATGTTCTACGACGAGAACACTCACGCAGTCGCAAATTTCTACAACTACTTCGGGGACGTCATGCCTTCTTCGAACCTGCACTTCACTACTGGAAGCGCACCAACACTTACTGGCTTTTCTGTGCCATTCCGGTTGAAATCAAACTTCCCATTTCCTCGGTTTGGGTCCAGGAAAGCAAGTGGCAATACTTGCTGCGTCCGCATTTGAATGCACCCTGGGTACATAGACTTCTTCGAAAGGTGGGCTTCCGGGAGCATCTAGTTGACTTTCGACGTCATTCGTTGTCATCTCCCACCTCGCTCGGGCTACACAAACGTTTTCGACGACGACTACATCCAGATCTTCAACGGCAATTACGACCTGAAATGTTGGATGACATTCAAGCGCATTACTCCACTCTTTATCAGCTGGGATCCAACACAGGCGCGTCGTTCCAGGCCATGCGAGACTTACTGTCGGCGGCTTTTCCTCCCACTCAGCTCTACTACTTCCTGCGACTCTCCGTCTTCGTCAACGAGCCCTTTCGTTCAAAGGCACAGAAGCTCCTCGCCCAGGTGATGCGCAAACGACAGCTCCAATCACCAAGCACTTTGACACAACTACTTCTACCGCCTCTACATGTACGGAATTGGAAAGCTCAGCTTGGCACGTGGTTACAACGTTGGGTCGCTTCACATCCCCTCCCTATTTCTTCCAAAGATCCGGGCGGTGGAAACTCGCAGTGCCACTTTGGGAGACAGGATCTACAACTACCGCACATGGCAACGCAGATGGACTCCTGACATATCTTTTCCGTGTCGCTGTTCGGACATTGATGATCACCACCTACACCGTGCACATGAACATGCAGTAATGGTAGATGAGTTCTCACGCATCAATGCGGACATCGACATGGACATCATGGCCGCGTCCATGAAGGATCAGTATTTCGGCGATGTTGACTTGCTGCCCAGCGTTTTACCACACAGCTTCGCAAACTAGCTCGTCGGTGGCATGTACATGGCTCCAGTCTTCTTACTGATCTACGGCCTGTTTTGACTCAGATGATTGATACCCATCGATCCAACCTTCAAGATCGTGCTTATTGGACATCCACATCACTACAACGCACCGTTGCTTCTCTGTCCTCGTGGGTTGTAATTCCAGCGGATCATTTTCCCTCTCGTGCACATGTGATTTGTCCTTCGTTGTTTGCCACACTGATGCACAAGACCTTTTGCTCGGGAGAAGTCTTTTCGCTGTGTCGGGAATCTGCAGCATCCTTTCGCTCCGAAGTGGTCACTACGATACCTTCCCTCCTACATCAGCGCTACGCATGGGGACTTCGACTTCAAGCACCGTTGCCTACAGCTCGCATCCTTCCAAAGCCGACCAAGGACTGGCAGAAAGCAAGACCCATCATTTCTTTCTTTCGCACGTGGGCAGCACCCTTCCTCACAGTCTTCGGCGCCCTCATTTTTGAACTTACCAAAGTTACCTTTCCTGACATACCAGGTCAGCTTTCGGTCCAAGAACTTGTCCAACAGCTCTGGGACGCGCTGTCAAAGGCAGATCCCGCCGAATACATCCACCTGGTGTCTCAGGACCTGTCCGGCTTCTTCACGTCCATTCCCACGGAGCGTTTCCATCAGGCACTACAGGTGCTTCTTCATCGTTATGACCAAGTAGTTGGCCTCCGCCGATCCTGCCGTATGTTCAAAGGAAAATGGCGCCGTCAAACTAAGGTCCCTCGAACCTTTCGTGAACAAGACCTTCGTTACCTCCTTGACTTTGTCATTGACAACAGTCACTTCGAGATCAATGGCTACTTGTTCCGGCAAGAACGTGGAGTCGCTATGGGATCACCTGCAGCACCACCTCTCTGCAATCTGGTT